GCTCAGACATGGAGACAGATGGCCGGACAGTGGACAGCTGGGCAGGGAGGGTGGGCAGCCCAGCAGGATGGAAATAGCAGTGAATGAGGCCTGGCTTGAGCCTGTCTGTTCCAGAGTTTGCTGCATGCATCAGTCTGGGTGATTTGATTGCCAGCAACAGAAACTGACACTGAGGAACTTAAGCAGAAAAGCTACATGTTCGATGGCTTTGGAATAAGAGTTTCATGTAACTGACCTCTGGTCTGGGGCCTTCTCTGTGGCAAGAAACAGGCAGGACCTCCAGCGAAGAGAGTTCTAATTCCCAAAAAGATATTGGCTTTTTCTGCAAACAACTGTTTGCATACTGTGTTACCTGAGGCAAATCACTTAACCTCTCTGTGCTTTAGTTTCCTCATCTGGATGTTCTAAAATGGACCTCTTTCATTCACATCTTCGGTATGATTGTTGCTGAGAAAACTAGGTACCCCAGAGGGTACCTTTCCCCATGCAGACACCTGCAAATAAATGATAAGTGTGTGTGTGTGTGTGTGTGTGTGTGCACGCACGCACGCACTTCCCTTTGGCTCCCTCCACTGAGGAGAATGCCCTCTCCATGTGCATGGTCTGGACCATCACTCTGCCTCAATGATGTAGTCAGCCTGTTCTCCCTCGAACCAGCATGTCTGCTGTCCCACGTGCTGACTGTGCTGATGAAAATGTGGATGGCATCACGGGCCTCTTCCCAGTCATGATCTGCCCTTCTCCAAGTTGGGAAGCTCGTGGCAAGATTCTGCCCTCCAAGGCCCCCAAAGTCAACACCCCCAAAGCCTGTCATGCCCTCCATTTGACCTTTAACATATGCATTGGCAGCCTTAGACCCTAAACCTGAGATGTGGAAGTGGCTAGGGAGTGTGAGGGACACTCCCTAGACCAGGACCCCCTTGGGCAAGGTGAGGTCTATAAGCAGCTCACTGTAACAGCAGAACAAAGTAAGAGGCAGAGAGAAATGTTAAGTGGGAGTCAGATGGTGGGGAGGGGGATGTTGGAGCCCAAGAGCTGAATTCTTCCTGGGAGATCAAGGAGTGCTCCATGGAAGAGGTTGCATCAAGATTATGAGTAAGATTTGGCAGGAAGAGAAAAGAACATTTCAAACTACAGGAAGTGTATTAAGAAAGGCCTAGATTTAGAGAGTGCTGGTGTTTGATGGAGCTTTGGGAGGATCCTCTGTGTTCATAGTGGAGTGTCCAGAGGGTCCCGGCAGGTGCAGGACAGTAAAGGCCAAGGTTAAGGGCACCTCTGCCTGGGCTTGGGTCAGGTATCCATCCCTGATGAATAGGTCAACAAAAGGAACCTCACCAGGCAATCAGGTGCTGACCCGCCCTCCACAGGAGTAAAGCACCAATGTCTGCTACAACCGGGGTGAGTCTTGAAAACATTCCGGTAAGTGAAAGAAACCGACACCATAGGCCACCTACTATAAGATCCATTGTGTGAAGGAGCCAGAACTGGCAGGCCTAGAGCCGTAGGGAGCAGATCGGTGGTAGCCAGGGGCCTGGGCTTTGGCTCCGTCATGGGTGCAGGGCTCCTTGGGAATGATGATGCTGGGGGCAAGACAATGGCAGTGGGTACACAACACGAAGACTACCGATGCCAATGAACTGTGCCTTTTAAATGGCTAAAATGGTGAATTGTATCATCGTTTGAAAAAAGAGTAGTTTGGGACCAGATCAGACACCACCCCCTGGGTTTGATGTCCACTCCACAAACATATGTCACTGTCCCCCCTTCTGTGCAGATGTCCCCACCCCAGACTAGAGGTTACCTTTTGGTAGAGAGGAAGCCCCACTGTCAAGGGGATAGGCTTCCTGGTGACCAGGCCTTACCCCATTGCGTCCCCTCCCAGATGTTCCCTACTGCTTGGCCCTTGCTTTTGATATCCACACAGTGCAGGAAGTCCATTGCTTGTGACCCTTCACCCACCTCGAAACATCTTTTAAGATGTTTCTTCTTCTTGTAGACATCCTCCAGCACAAGCTGAGCTGAGCACCCAAGGTGTTGTATGGAGACATGGATAAAAGCAGGGATAGGGTTTGCTTCTGTGCTCCCAGGAAGCCTGTGGGGAGCTGTATCTGGGAGGGCCTGGCCTGTGGATCACTGTTTCTGGGGCAGCTCTGGTGCCTTGCCCCCAGGGAAGAATGTTTATTGAATGAGGCATTGGCTTTGGGAAGATTCTCTCCCCTCCCAGACATTAGCAGACTGGTGACCGTCAAGCCCCTTGATCTCCAGGGTTCTGTGTGTGTATACAGGGTTCTGTGTGTGTGAGAGACATGTGGGTACAGTAAAAGGTTGCTACCTGTTATCCCAGATTAGTTTTCTGCTCCCTATGCCCAGCTAACAGAAGCAGAGACTGAGAGAGAAGGAGCCTGCAAATTCAACTGCAAGCAGCTATTTCTGCTCTTGGCCAGGAATCAGGAGGGCATTGTCCAGAGACGGCTTCATCCAGGCTAAAGGGACCATCTCTTCCCCTGGGAAATCTAACTGAAACCACACAGAAACAGAGGTTTTAGCTGAGATTGCCTAGAGTCCTTTGACTACAGGGCTGAACAGTGGGCTTTTTTTCCATTTTCCTCCTCAAACGAGAGGTGCTACTCTTTCTGTTTTTCTGATTATGAAATCACTCATTTTCTAGGAAGCTTATTTATAGAGTCCGCTGCATTCATGCAGCATGGAGCTATTCTGAACATGGCTTGGGGCCTGGGAGGCTTAAGGTGTGAAAGCAGCTGTGAGTCACCCATGGGTGCCCTTCTAGAGCTATGTGGGTACCTTGGTTATCTTTCTGCACCCAGCCAGGGACCAGCTCCAGTAGAGCTGCTCTTTAGGATAAAGAGAGGAAAACTCAGGGTTGAGAGGTTGGAGATATGTGTTCCAACCCCAGGCCCCATGACCACACTTCATCACCTGTGGCAAGTCGGAGCCCCATTCCATGCCTCAGTTTCCTCCTCTGCAAAATGAAAGGTATGTGTATGTAATTCTGTGATATGTGATTCTGTGGGCATGTGATCCTGTGACCACTCTGGACACCAGCTGTGGAGGAGGATTTGTCCCCAACACAGCTCAGGAGATGGCCATGTTTGAGGTGCCTGATGTTTTTCAAGGTTAGGGCAGCATCACTTAATCACTAAGTATTTGTTTATTGAGCACCTGCTATGAGCCAGGTATCGTGTGAGGCTTTGAAATTACAATGGTAAATAAGGCAGAAATAGTGGTTCCTGCCTTTCTGTAGCAGATAGGCTAATGTCTGAGATAGTTGTTAATCAAATAATGGCATAAATTAAAATGAAATTTCAAACTGTCAAGTGCTGTGAGTATAAATACTGGGAAACAGAGATGGGGGAGCTCTAGGCAGAGAAAAAAGCGCAAGCCAACCCTCAGTGAACAAAAGTCTGTCTGGTGTGGCCAGAGTGTCAGGCCAAGAGGAAGAGGGGCTCTGTAAATGGTCAACAGGTGGGCACTCCAGCCTGGTTTCTAAGGTCCATACTCCAGCCTGGTTTCTAAGGTCCATATCTGCAAGCCAGGATTCCCGACCCAGAGACAGTGGCCCTGCTGAAATGGAGCCCGAAAGTATCATCAAGATAACTGGAATGAGATCGTTGACAGCGTTGAAGACATGAATCTCTCAGAGTCCCTTCTCCACGGCATCCACGCGTGTGGTTTTGAGAAGCCCTCTGCCAGCCGGCAGGAAGCCATTCCTCCTTATAGGGAGGGGTATGATGTGATCACTCGGCCCAATATGGCACCGGGGAAAAGGCCACTTTTGCCCAGTCAGCTCGGCAGCAGATCGAGTTGGATCTAAATGCCACCCAAGCCTCCGTGCTGGCATCCCCTAGGGAATTGGATCAGCTGATAGAGAAGGCGGACCTGGCACTAGGAGTTTACCTAGGTGTCGCCTGCCTCACCTGCATTGGGGGTACAGGTGTCCGTGCTTGGATACCAAAGCTGCAGATGCTACCCCTGGCCATGTGCTTAATGTGCTCCCGGAGATACCTGTCTCCCAGGTATACCCAGGAGTCTGTACTAGATGAAGCTGAGATGGTAAGCCATGGGCTCAAGGACCAGCTCCATGACATTCCCAAAGCTCAATAGTGACATCCAGCTGGCTCTGCTGTCAGCTACAGTGACTTCTGATGTGCTCGGAGTGACCAAGAAGGACACGAGGGCCCCATTCGGATTCTGACCAAGGAGTTGACCCTGTCTATCAAGTTACTCCTCAGTGTGGAGCAAGAGGAGTGGAAGCTGGACACACTTCATGGCAGTCTGGTCGATCTCTGGCAGCCTCTTTCCAGTTTACTGGTGGAGAAGAGCTAGACCCCAGAACAGACATTCCAGACCTCCTGGAAGGAGCCGTGACGCTCTAGGAAGAGGGTTTTCTGCTTTTAGGAGGCAGCAGAACATTTAAAGTATGTGTGTGTGTGTGTATACTTTTTCTAGCCATTTCTGGAGAAGAGTGTTGCATGCCATTTTCCAGTGCCCAAAGCAAGGACACTTACAGTCCTTGGAAGATCTGAACCCAGCCTGGGTGTTACCTGGACCCTTCTTCTCGCTCACCCATATTCAAACACAGGACAAGGAGGCCAGTCAACACAGCAGTGAGAATGAACCTGGAATCCTAAACTGTAATTTCACTTCCAGCTCGTCCCTAATGACCTGTAACCTTGGGGTTGTTCCTTAACTTCTCTGAGCCGCTTTAATTCATAGGGCCATGAGGAAGACTCAGGGTGACAAAGTTTGTAAAGTGTGTTGCATGTAACCAGCCTTCCTTCCATGGTAGCCATGATGGTGACAATGTCGGCAGCAGCAATACTGCTGTTGCTGGTTTTACTGAAGTCTCCTGCAGATTCTGCTCCCACTTCTGCAGCCTGACCCCTCTCTAGATTGGACAAATTTTGTTCAGATCCCCTGGTGGGATGGCCTTAAACAAAGGGACATAGTGCCAGAAATGACAGCTTTTTCTCTTTGTTCAGGGTTTTGTCTCAATCCCAGCTCAACAGCAGCATCTCAGTTTTTCATCCTGCTTCAAGAGTGAGAGAGAGAACCACACTGCTGATGACTCCGAGGGAGGGACCCTGGACATGTGCTGCAGTGAGAGGCTGCCGGGTGAGTCTGCCCAGTACCCAGGTGCCCCCCCACCCACCCACCCAGAGCTCCAAATACAGGAGAGAATCCCAGTGACGCTAGTGCTGGAGTAAAGGCCAGCCAGCCGTGAACATGCGTGAGAGGAGTGACTCAGCTAGTCCACAGGTCTTTGTTTACTCAGGGATGGTACTTCTAACCCCTGCTGGCCTTTCGGGCCTGCTGTTGTGAGAGCCGCTCTAGGCTCATATGGAGGGCGCAGCAGGCAGCTCTGTGAACAAGGAAGGTAGAGAGAAGGGTGAAGAACTTGAGTCCGGCCTCCCTGGTGGCGGAAGCGTTGAGTCTCAGCACTGTCACCCTTAAGGCCTGAGTTCAATCCTCGGCCAGGGAGCTAACCACATGGCACAGCAGGCCTCTCCTGTCTCTCCCACTGCTCCCCTCAGCAGTCTATTTCAGTAGATTCTCCTGCTCTGCTCCCCACTCTGCCTCTCACCCCCCTGTACCCCAGTTCTTCTACAAAAAAGAAACCTCAAGAGTCCAGGCTGAGGGGGGACATGAGTGATGGTGTGTTGGCAAAAACATAAGCAACTGGACTGTGTCACAAACCTAGATGCAGGCTGCTTCCCTGGCGGAGGGCTGAGTCCAGCTGACCACACCCCAGGAGCCTGGCTGTGGGTACCACGGCCATCAGAGACCTCAACGACTCCCTGCTGCCCATGGAGGGGGCAGCATGCCCAATGTGGATCAAATACAGCCTTGAAAGAAGTAAATGAAGAAGAAGTGGCTATTATGTTTCTTCTTTCTACAGTGTTTTTGATTTTTCTTATACCAAGTACCCATTGCAGAAATGTTAGAAAATAAAGACAAGTAAAAGGAAAATCACCCTAGCCTTACAATATACATTTTATATTTTTCCTTCCAAGCCTTTTTGTTATTTAAAGAAAAAAAAGCCTATTCTAACAGTTTCAAATCTTTAACTTCATGAGTTTGTCATAAACCTCATGATTGGCAAAAAGTCTTAAAGTCTTAAGTGACACTATCAAAATCAAAATTACAAACAGTTAAACCTCAAAAACTCTAGAGAGGTGACTCTTTAAAATAGTTTTATTTTATTCACACAAAGGGCAGGTGCCCAGCTTGATGAAGCACCTTGGGCCCCCGCAGTGAGTTAACCCATTGGTGCAATTCCTGCCTTCTCCAGTAGGGGATGCCATTGCTCTAAGCACTCAGGAAGGCCTGCTGTGCTGGCCAGGGATGGAAGTCATCTCACAGACACGTTGTGGGCACCCAACACAGTTAACTTGAAGGAAGGAATTCTCCAAAAGGGTGTGACAGCTGTCCATGGATATCTGGGGGGCTGTCTTGTGGAGGGGGCAGTAGATATATTCCATGTGTTTTTTAGAAGGCCATCATAAACCCACTGAAAGGAAGGAGACTTGTTGGCTTGTAGGATGCAGAACTTTCTAAGTTCAAAAATAGTTCAATCCGAAGTTGATCATGCAAGAGGAAGAAAATGAGTGTTCCATCACTGGAGGTATTCAAGTATTGTCTAGCTAGACTTTGGAGAGGAAATTTCCACAATTGGTGGGAGGTCGAGATGACATCAAAAGTCCCTTTCAACTATTAAACAGTTGTGTGATTCAGATATGAGTCACAGAATTCAGAGATGATTCTACAACCAGGGATGGCACCACTGGCTAGGAAAATATCCACGGAAAATAGGACATAATGTATAGCAGCCCAGATTGTAGCGTGCGTGGCATAGAAGAAAGAGCGCAGAGTTTGACCTTTGAGTCTGGCTGTTCTTTTTCCTGGCTGTGTGTTTATGGGTTGGGTAAATCACTTAATCTTGCTAGGCGTCTAGCCCTCACTCATAAATACAAATGTCAATATCAATAGTTATTGCCATAACAATATGAACATTTATCCTCACAAGGATTAATTAAATATAATCATGCAAGCAGTCATTCAACAAATACTTAGTGAGTGCCTGCTATGTTTCAAGTACTGTGCTAAGTGCACGGGCTATAGAGATGAATGTAACAGACACAGTCCCTGCCCTGCTTTGAGTTGCTTCTGGAAAATGGGATGAAGCCACCGCAGAAAGGTTACAGAACTAAACATATGTTGAATTCTGACCCTCCATCCCATTTCTCCCCAAAAGTCAACCACCTCCATAGAATGGAAGAGGAGTGCTGACCTCTCCCCTGGACCTGGCATATTGCCTTCCTGTGTCAAGCTCAGCTCTAAGAGCTTTTGCCTGTGTCTTCTCCACTATCCCGTTACCAATCCACTATCCCAAGAAGCCCCTGTCATTTGCTATCCCTGTTTTATAGGAGAGAGGATGAAGGCCCAGGGGGAGGAGGGGTTAGGGACTAAGACCACTTAGCTAATGTTTGGGAGAGAAAGGACTGTGGGCAACCTTCCTCCAGAGCCTGTGCCACTGGCCACTAGCTGACCCTGGCTCCACAATCGCCATAAAGTCATCGTATTGCCCTGTGCACTGAGGCGGGAAGAGCTCAGACGGGTCTGTCCTCAGGGAGGAGTTTGAAGTATCTGAGCGATGTCCAGTGTCTGTCCTCTTCTGTCCTCCTCTGGAAAGCCCTGCCTGACAGGGTCCAGGCAAGTTAACTGCCCTATGGACTTTCAACACCACCCTGATAGGGCATTAGCATTATTTTGCCCGTTTCATTCATGGGACCCTGAGGTCTTGGAAGGGAAGTACCTCTCTATCTTTTTTATTTTTAGATTTACTTATTTAGGCATACAGAACTGGGGTGCAAGCCAGAGGTTCAGGGGCAGTGAGAGGATTCTGTGGAGAGCAGAATAGGCAAGTGGACAAATTACACTGCTGAGGGGAGCAGCAGGCAGGTCAAGAGAGGTCTGGCGCCCCATGTGGGTCACCTCCAGGGAGGAGATTGAACTCCTTCTCAAGTGGCTGCAGCCAGCTCGCAGTGCTGCGTCCTAACGTCCTAACCCGTTGCGCCACCAGGGAGGGCCCCATACCTCTCTATCTTATCACTGGCTGCTCATCAAGCACCTGTATGTGCTGGGTACTCTTGTGAGCCCTGGAGATTCGACATGGAACTAGGCCAGTTCCCACCCTTGCAGGCCAGTGTTAGGTACTGGGGGAAAGCAGGGACTCTGGGCCCAGGCCAGACTCCACACTTACCACTGGCAATCACCGGGAAGCTGCTTAACCTCTCAGAGCCGCCTCCTTCCATGGTGGTAAGAATAACATTCATGGTCATGTAGAGCTGTTGGAGGATTGAATGAAATAATCAAGAAAAAGCTTGAAACAGGTCCTGTTTGTATCTAGTACTATAAGGCATTGCTATTAAGGGGAAAATAGAGAATAACAAAATACACAAGTAAAATATATAGGAAGGCACTAGCCTGCTATAGAGGAAACGAAGGCCAAGAGTGGAGTGGGAAGAAATGAGGGAAGGGAGGTGGCATTATAAATAGGGTGATCCCAGGGCCTGAAGAGGAGTAGACATCTGTAAATGAAACCCCTGGCCTGAACCACAGCTTGGACGTGAAAGAAATTGGAAGTATACAGACCGAGGGAAATGGCTGGTGCATCTTTGCAGGGAGCCCAGGGGCACTGAAAGCTACTGCACCATGAGACTGCAGCCCTCCAGCAAGCCCGCCTCCGCCCAGCCTCCGCCCAGCCATCTTCCCCCCGGTTAAGACTAGGGGCAAGAAAAGTGAGGGCCAGCATGACCCAGTCACCCCCACCCTCCAGACCAGTACTCCAGAGCGCCGTCACGTCAGCCGGCACTCAGCAGGTCACACAGGTCTGCAGGGCTGCTGGCACAGCCAGGGTTCCCACAGCTGCCCTGTAGGTAGCATGTGTGTGCACACAGCACACACACACCAGGCTCTTCCAGAATGTGTCCACACATGCATGTGTTCTCACGTGTCGCAGCCTCTTGCACAGGGACACACGTGCACATCCCCATGTGCAGTCACCCAGGCACGCACCTCTCTCTCTCACACAGCCCCGCGGGGCACACACCCACCTTTACTGTCACGTACCCACAAATCTTCAGGCTCTCTTTCCACCCATCCCTCCCACTAGGCATCTTCTCGGAGATGGGCACAGCTGCCCGCTCTCTGTTCCTTCTCTGGGTCCCTTTCTTCACTGAAACCATTCCCCCTTCTTGTGAGCTCACACACCTGCATGCACACATGCAGGCAGGCACCCCCCTCCGCTCCCTGCCTCTTCCCCGGCGTGGTTCCCGGGTACTGAGCCGGCACCGGGGCCATCAGCCCTCCATGCACCTGCACGTCACTTGCACACTTACTTTCCAATCCCTCATTCACGTTTTACATCATCACCCCCCTTATCTCCTTCCCCCCAGCTTGTTCACTTGCTTACAGTCACCCAAACACATTTATACATTCGAACTCACACTCCCGCCTCTTCGGTGTGTAGGTGTTCACATTTGCAAGAAACCAGGCAACCCTGCTGATGCTGGGGCCCCCGCTCCTTCCCTAGCTAGTGCTCGCCTGGGCCCAGCATCTGCCTCCAGCTACAGGCCAGAGGAAGGAGGGAGATAAAGCAAAAGCAGCTGCCAGTAGATGCACCATCACCAAGTGTTACTCACTGTGTCCCTGGCAGGCAGGCCTGCCCCTCACATGTGCAGAGACCAGGCCAGAATGCAAACAAGCCCCCCGTGGCACTCCACCCACAGCGCAGTTCTGCACTGCAGGGGCCCTGTGTGCTCCTGTGGGCACATGGTCTCCATGTCCAAGTCCAGTCCACCGCTTGCCCTAATAGCTGCTCCCTGGCCATCCCTGGTCTGCAACAAGAGGTTATGCATCCTTAAAAGGGTGCACTGTACCGAGAAGGCGTTAGCATTTGGGCCGAGGGCACTGGAGTCCTTGTAGCCAAAGGATGGTCAGTTGGGCTGCGGGGGGTGCAAACACACCTCTGGGTCTTACATGCTTCTCGCACCGTGAGGACCGGCATCCCAGAGGAGCTGGCGTCAGGGTCTGGGAGTATGGATAATATGCTC